AATAAATTCTTGAAAATGTTAAAAAAGAGAGAGAGAAAGGGGGCCCGTGCTGGCTCTCGACTTTCCTGTTTATGGTAATAATTACATAATCATATAAACTTATGTATAAAACAAAAACTTCATTTAACTCTTGAAGTTTTTATTTCATTTACACAACTTTTCTATTTGATTATGACTCATTAATTACACACTTCAATTTTAAAGAAGATGATTTTTTATCATAAAGGATACTTCTTTGAATAAGAAAACGAAGCAAACAGATATAAATAGCGAATTTCACAAAATAAAAAATAACTTTGTGTTTCGGTTGTTTTTCTCTAATCTAGTGATGAATGCCACATCTCGACAAGAATCTTAAAATATGTTGATTAACATACGAACCAAGTCTAGATACATGCAGTCACTTCCAAACATTTAACGACAATTTTAGTAGAACTATTCCAAAGAATATAACTAATAAAATACCAAACATTATACTTAGTACTAACACCATTTATATATATACTAAAGCATATTAGGCATATGGACTCCCCCCCCCCCCAAGAAAATGTGGAATTACGAAGTACAGTAAAAACACTTTTAAATAACTGGTATAACTTTATATAAACAAGCATATAATTTTATATAACTCTCAAACATATGTTACTGACTTGAAACTTAAATACACTTTACCAGCGCGAGTCGTAATTACAGAAGAAATCCATATGGACGCCATCTAGTGAGCAAGTAGTATAACGTATTCAAGAAAAAACAATTCTTAATTTATTCCCTTTTTAAGAGCAGAAATGTGAACTGGATTTGTAACGTCTCTTTTTCTTGTGATCAGAGGGGTTGAATAACAGGAATTTTAATCCTGCAGGAAATTCCATGTAAATGGTAGACAAAACGTTATAACTGAAACGAGATCACCAGTTTGTTGATAATTCTAGTAGAAAGTTTCGACCGACAACCATGTATCAAATTCTAGGCTTAATGTTACAGATGTAATATTGATAAGAGTGAAGAATAATGACTCGATTATTTGAATGTTACTGTTAAATACACATTTGTTATAGCATAGTTATTAGAAAGACATAAGATACATGTTTTCCCAGGAACGCAGTACAGAAAAGTAAATTCGAAGTTTGAAGTTCAAAGGCATCTTTATGGATATCTTTATTCATCTGACTATGACAACTATAGTTTAAAAATAACACGTTTCTTTCTTCTTCTTCCTTTACTTTATCCACGGAGAAATAAAAACATTCCCATTGTTAGGAAAAGTAAAAAGAAAAAAGTGACCACTGCAGGGTGAACATTGGCTGCTTCATTCCGATTACAGCCGTCGCCTTGACAGCACTGGACACACGAGTATTCTGGCCTGCTTCTGTCGCAGTGATCCAGTCCCAGTCCAGTGGTCTGTTTAGGGTCACGGAGCTTACATGGACCTAATGCACACTTTTTCTCAATTAAAAAACTCGATTCTGCAAAATAAAATAAAATTGTAACAGGTTTTAGACATTTAATACGTAATATGTCTTTTGAAAACATACAAAGCACTTAGTAAGCACAACAATAAAATAAGTCTGGTAGATTTATAAACACTCCTATATGTATAGCACAAGAAAAAAATGCATAATTTATACATTACATTTTAAAAATTTTTATCCTCAAATATTTTTCAGAAAACTTTTCGAAAAAATTCCACGAACAACTAGTTTAATTAATCAACAGATCAAATAGATAATGAGAGATGTTAAATCAAAACATAGAGAACAAAAACACGTTGAGTGCAAGTCCATTAGTGTTAGACTATTTTATTAGACTGAAGAAGAAAAAAGAATCGGAGCATTTAATACGAAATACAAATTTATTTCCAAAAATAGCCCGAGCGTGGCCCATTAGTTAACGTATCAGCCTACGGATCCGAGGGTATCGGGCTCAAGGTGTAGTACTACCAAATACGCTTCGCACTTTGAGTACGTTATAGGAACGACAGTCAACTCCGCTGTTCGATTAAGAATAAGACGCTTTAGGCGGAGGGTGCAGCCTACTGATGCGTTGCTTTTTGTTCAAAAGTAGAGACCGCTATTTCCACTTCACAAGGGTGACTGGTCTGCCTGTTTTGCCTATTATGTCCATAAGGTGTCGCTCAAGTGAGCAGACAAGCAATTTCCCACAACGTATTATTGGATAAATGGCCGAAACCATGAAAAACAAACTAGACAGTAGAGCTTTCGAGGACCATCATAAGATGTCTCAAAATTCCGGAATTAAAAAAAGGTATGAAAACTGGACACAAGTTTCGAAAGAAAAATATTTTTCATCAGTAACATATAATATTTTCCACTAGAACACTGCGGCTAAAAATGTTAAATTATTCATTCATTCACATAAAAAATGCGTTATAATGACATAAAATTATGATTTCTGAGATTACAAACAAGTGTTAAAAGCATGGAGTGATATAACAAACAAAATTGTTATAGAAGGAAAAATTAGAAAGGTAAACAATACGTTCACGCTTTCTGCAGAAAGTTTTCAATTCCATCTGAAGTTTCGTTTTTTCAGGCACATAATATTTTATCAAGCAGCCATATTTTCCGTAAATAAATAATATAAACACAGAAACTTATGTTGTGATAAAACTTTCTTCTGTTTACTGAATACTTGTAAGGTTGAGGAGTCAGCTTGTGCAATAAATTGTAAAAATAAAAACAAAATCAACGTTTAGTGCACAATAAAATTTTACTTGGCAGACTGCCAAAATTAAAAATACTCCACATGTTTCGGTAGCTTTATGCTACCATCACCAGGAGTAATAAACCTACATGTCGAGCGAGTAGTTTTATAAGAAAAAGGTTTAACTCGTTGTAATCTATGAGGGTGGTATGAGCAATGTACATAAAAAGTCAATATTTCTATCCAAAATTGTGCATTATCACCAGCTAACCCTTCATCTCTATTTAACAAATAATTATCTATCTTACAGTACAAAATTTATATTGATTCTCTAATATTGTAAGGTTATGATAAATTTGAAAACTAACTTTTATATATTCTTTGAGTTGTTCATGCTAAACAGTTTACTATGTATTATGCTATGGTATTTATATTTACTGTTAATTATCAAGCAGAAACGCTAAAAAAATTCCGCAAAACACAAGGTCATGACTGTTGAGCGAAAAATTCTTTATTAACAACACAATGTTATTTTACCAAAACCGGTCAGGCTTCTTTTTTTTTTTGTATAGTCTGCTTGCTGGGGTCGAGAAGATCAAGCGAACTTGAGTAATCAAGAGACAGAACTATGGAAATACTCGAACTTAATACTCTGACAAAAAAAATCAGGCATCTCACAAGTCCTTAGTTTACATACTTCAACCAATGTTTTTCACGTATTCTTAAGCCAAGTACAGGTTTCCTATAATCTGCATTACCTGTTTGAATAGTCTACCTTCCAAAACGTTCATACAAAAATGTATACACACTAGCTTGAGAGTTAAGAACAAAAACTGTAGCATGCAGCCTTTACCTGTGTCAAAGTCTTAGCACATGTTTACGACCTTGTTTGTGGATAGGGATGTCCAGTTAAACCAAAGTTCTCAAATATGCACCTATAATTAACCATTAGCAAGACTTTTGTCATTGTTTTTTGAAAGAGTTTGTAAATAATGTTAAGAATATCAGACATATTTGTCAGTAGCCTAATTACAGCAGACACCGTTTAATGATTATATTCATTGTGCTAATTATGATATGGAGTCGTTGTTTACAAACATACATCTAGACAAAGACATTTATCTTTGTTCTAGCCTCGTGTTAGCAAAAAATGATATTGTACAGGGTATAACTAAAGATGCTTTTAAAACATTTTTACGTTTTGTTATTAAACAATTGCACGCTATGTTTAACGTTAAAATTTATGAACAGATTGACGGAGTGGTTTTAGGCTCCAGTCTTCCTAGTCTCTTCCTGTGCTTCCATGGAAAAGTTTGGTTAAAGTCCTTTTCTGGACGATTTAAACCTGTGTATTACAAGTGATAATACCTTTGTGTTGTTTAATAATGTTGATCATGACACTTTTGTGTTGTTTAATAATGTTGATCATGACACTTTTGTGTTGTTTAATAATGTTGAATCGGTTAAAGAATTTCTACAGTTTTTAAACGGTAAACATTTCAATATAAATTTTACTGTCGAAAATCAACAGAATTACAAACTCTCGTTCTTAGATGGTTTTATCTTAAGGTATACTAACCACTAAAGAGTATCAGACACCCAATTACTAACCACTAAAGAGTATCAGACACCCAATTACTAACCACTAAAGAGTATCAGACACCCAATTACTAACCACTAAAGAGTATCAGACACCCAATTACTAACCACTAAAGGGTATCAGACACCCAATTACTAACCACTAAAGAGTATCAGACACCCAATTACTAACCACTAAAGAGTATCAGACACCCAATTACTAACCACTAAAGGGTATCAGACACCCAATTACTAACCACTAAAGAGTATCAGACACCCAATTACTAACCACTAAAGAGTATCAGACACCCAATTACTAACCACTAAAGGGTATCAGACACCCAATTACTAACCACTAAAAAGTATCAGACACCCAATTACTAACCACTAAAGAGTATCAGATACCCAATTACTAACCACTAAAGAGTATCAGACACCCAATTACTAACCACTAAAGAGTATCAGACACCCAATTACTAACCACTAAAGTGCATCAGACACCCAATTTCGCTGAACTGCATTCACATTTTGAAGTTTCACCCCTTCAATCTTGAAAGAAAATCTAGTTAAAATCATGCTAAACATAGCATTTAAAATATCGGGAAATCAAAACCTTCTTTTGAAGCAAAAGGGAAAACATCAAACAAACGTTGTCGTTCCTAAATAGAATGAAGCACACCAAAACTGAAAACTAAATACTTCATCTGCTGTTATGTTAGATGTTAAGAAGAAATCTGTTACTTTAGTAATACCCTACTTCATAGATCATTAAGAAGAAAATTAAGAAAACGACCAAACGATTATATCCACAAGTTCATTTTAAATCTTTCTTTAAAATTCAGTCTAGATTAAAAGGGGCCCTATTCAACTTTAGGACAAACAACATCCGTTGAATACCACCCCTAGTGGTATAAAGGACAAACAACATCCGTTGAATATCACACTAGTGCTATATGATTTTACGTGCACGAGATGCAACCATGGATATATTGGATTAACCACTAGATGGCGATGGAGTTGAATAAAATACCATTGTGAAGCTAAAACCTACAGCATCAGTAGTATTACCAACCACTGTCTAAAACCTACAACACCAGTAGTATTACCAACCACTGTCTAAAACCTACAACACCAGTAGTATTACGAACCACTGTCTAAAACCTACAACACCAGTAGTATTACGAACCACTGTCTAAAACCTACAACACCAGTAGTATTACGAACCACAATCTGAATGAATGTCATATTGTACCTAACTACAGTTTATTTTCGCGTCATTCTCCAGTCCCGGAAAGAATTTTACCCTAGAATGCTAGAATCTCTTTCCATCAAGCCAAAAAATAAACAACGGCTCTTAACCAGAAAATGAGTGCATTGCCACTACATTTCTAATCTTGAAAAGTAAAAAAGAAAAGAGAACAGAACATAACCTTCGATAGCTGTCCTAGATAGCCACAAACGCCAGTTGCCTGTACTATTGCGATACTGTGCCGCCCTCTATGGGTTGATTCATTCACTTCAGTCGGCATCACAGAAAAATAGATACAGGCAAAATCCGGTGAAACAAGGACTTTTTCCACTAAGATTTATCCTAATCTGCGCTGATTAAAACCACAATTCCCTCACCGTATATGTGAAAGTCGTATATAGGTATATATATGTTTCAAGTACTTCTGTGTAAATTTAGCACTTACATGCACACAAGCAATCGTACGTGGTATTTATATAAATATCATCCAAATGCTCATCCCAAATTTCCACCTGTGTACTCAGAAAGCAAGAATTGCAAAGTCCTTCCATCTTTCAGAAACCCTAATGATCATTATCAGCCCTACTAATTACATTACATTACATCTAATGACATCAGCTGTCCTAACTATGACATCTAATGGTCTGTTCCACAGAAATTCAGCTACACCTCGGTTAGACAGTGTGAGCGACTATTGAAATACGTCATACAAACATCTTATCACCGAAAATTATTTGATAGCCTGGAAAGTAAGGGTTATAGCGCATTTGCAACTAAGTTTCCTTTGGTCGTACAGACTAGCGATGTCATAGGCATTAACACGAGTCTCCCTAACTGTATAGTAACGGAGAAAATCATTACACTGTGAAACACTGCTTGGTAGCTTGGAAACTTGAGGAATCTACCGATTACCCTAACGCCCTAACTGTTGGTGTGGCAGTTAACCTCAGCCATATTGGTCAGGAGATCGCCATTAGCGGCTAGGCCGATCATCAGAGCTGTCACTCAGTTTTTTTCACTGGCGTTTTCTCATCTGATTATTTTCCTACTGCCAGATGAATATTTCCAGCTTCTCCCTCTTCATCAGCTAAATTAAGATAATGTTATGTTATGGATTTCGCGAGGGTTATCTGCGCTAGCTGTCCCTAATTTAGCAGTGTAAGACTAGAGGGAAGGAAGCTAGTCATCACCACCCACCGCCAACTCTTGGGCTACTCTTTTACCAACGAATAGTGGGATATACCGTACACATTATAACGCCCCCACGGCTGAAAGGGCGAGCATGTTTGGTGTGACAGGGATTCTAACCCGCGACCTGCAGATTGTTAGTCGAGCGCCCTAATCACCTGGCGGCCATGCCGGGCTCGAAGAATTATGCAACGAAGTTAGTAACATAGAAATTAGGAGAGCTACAAGCTCTTTCTTCGCCTTTCTTCAGATGTGACTTTATTTATTGTAATCACGTTATAATAAAGCGTTTATTTTTCTGTTAACATTTCATAAAACGAACCTAGTTAAAATTGGCATACTTACTGGTTTTGCTTATGGTCGTCATACATCTGTCGTACGCCTGGTCGTCAGGACAGATTTTCAGATAGTCGTCTGTGCACAAGTCGTTGTGTTCTACTTTACACTGATAACACTTCGGCTTGTTAGAGACAAAAGTCGCCGCTGTATTAAAAGCACAAAAAATAAGATAAATTGCTCAGATTTGCATAAAAGCCGATGACTTATGAAACCCTTCAAAACTGTGGATGGGTCAGTAACTTATTTGATGTACATTTAGCAAATAGTTCGAGCAGAAAACAAAAACTCAATATTTTAAATAAATACTTTTATTACCTTTTCATGTTTATCAGTTAGTTCAAATAGTAAAAAACAAACAAACAAACAAAACAACGAAAAACTTAGCACTCCAATGAAAATTGATCTCAAAATATCAGTTGTGATAAGTTGTTCATTTCGAACAGGAATAGTTATACCAAGGAAAATAATTTTAAGCTATAGAAGATATGTGCTTAACTCAAGTTGAGGTAAAACGTTTTTAAACAAGATTGTACATTTCTATAATAAGTTATCAAATGATGTTGTTGAAGCTTTAACAGGGTTGTAAATTTCTAGAATGGGTTGTCAAATGATGTGATTGAGGCTTTAACAAGGTTGTACATTTCTATAATGGGTTATCAAATTATGTGGTTGAGGCTAATACAATGGTGTTAAGAAGGGACTAGATGACTATTTATACCCTTGCTATTCATTAAAAGATATTTGTTTTAAGAATTTCCCCACAGGCATTATTAATATGGTAATTCATTTTGTTGTTTTTTGAATTCATTTGCCTTTTTTGTTTTATAATATGCATCGCTTCAGTACAAGAGTAATATATTCAAACAAATACATACACGCTTCTTATCACATATTAGATGTGAAAGTAGTATATTGAAATTGTACTGCCAAAGATATCTAAGATGTTCGTTGGTAGGTTAACTCACCAGAGTTTTGTTTGTTTGTTTGTTATGAATTTCCTGCAAAGCTACACGAGGGCTATCTGCGCTAGCCGTCCCTAATTAAGCAGTGTAAGACTAGAAGGAAAGCAACTAATCATCACCACCCACCGCCAACTCTTGGGACAGTCTTTTTCAAACCAACAGAGGGGACTGGCCGTCACATTATAACGCCCCCACGGATGAAAGGGCGAGCAAGTTTGGTGGGACGGAGATTCGAACCGGCGAGGCGCAGATTGAGTCAAGCGCCCTAATCACTTGGCCATGCTGGGCCCTAGAGTTTTGTATATTTTTACTTTACAGTGCTAGCATGTTAAGGCTCAGTAGATCTATTATGTAAGAATATACTGACAAAAACATTATTTTGAAAGACTTGTGTTCCATCTGTAAAATTCATATCAGCCATTTCTTGGTTAAACTCTTATAAGTAGAATATAATTAATGGCAAAAAAATCCCAGAAAAGTATGAATAATTAGACTTTTTCCTTAATAAAACTTAATGAAAGTGTCCTAAGAATGAATAGAAATTTTGGGGTGCTACTATAGCGTGCGGTCTACCGAGACTTTTACACTATAAACAAAGCATATAAAGATGTTGAATAATAGCAGTCTACCTGGTATATTTACACTGCTAAATAATTTATTAATGATGAATAATAGCAGTGTACCTGGGATATTTACACTGACCGCACGCTATAGTAGGTCCGAGCTGTTTCAATCACACCTTGATCACATTTGCTGGAAAGTTCTAAGAAAAGATGCAGATGATTTATTTGTGACATTTGTAAATGATACACGAAGTATATATTGTTAAAGGATTTAAATGTAAGTTATTTGTTAAGGATGTGGTAATAATTATGTAGCACAATTTTGTGTTTGTTTTTTATCATAATAATGATCATTAATACATTATTTAGCAGTGTAAATATCCCAGGTAGACTGCTATTATTCATCATTAATAAATCATTTAGCAGTGTAAATATCCCAGGTAGACTGCTATTATTCATCATTAATAAATCATTTAGCAGTGTAAATATCCCAGGTAGACTGCTATTATTCAACATCTTTATATGCTTTGTTTATATTGGGGTCATGTGGGTACCTTATAAGTGTGACGGTAAAATCTCACTGCTCGAATAGTCAAAGGTTGGTGTTGGGTGCTGGTGAATAAGCTGCTTTCATTCTAGTCTATCAATTCAAAATTAGGAGCGGCTATGCACAGATAACCCTTGTGTAGCTTTGCGGACATGATTAAGTTATTATGTTTTCTTCTTCATATAAATGGTATTTAGAGCAGTCAAATGTAAGGGCATGATAAAAACCTGAACAGTACTTAATCAAATGCTATATAAGACGCTTGTGCTTTTGTTTCTAACAAAACTTTAACAAAATCAATCACGTGGTGGCATCGATAAGAAACAGTGTAGAAGGTCGTCTAAAGTACTTTAAAATTTTACTTTTATTTTACGTATATTACGTATATAACGTCCTGCGCCCACCCCTCTTCTAGTTACAGTGAAGTGCCAAATGGTATAAATACTGCTACTATAAAGTTATTAAGCACCCTTAACAAACACTGTTAAAATTTTATTATCTAAAATAAAGTATGGTTCGTTGTTATGAATAGACAGTTTAAGCTTTTAATTATTTATTAACTTATTTATTTTCAAACTAGTAGCGGAATTATAACTTCGATTCTTTTTTTAAATATATATTTGTAATATATATAATCGCCTCGATATTATAAGCGTTGTTTACAGGATCAAGAAATATATTTGATTTTATTATTAACCACCAATTTCATAAGTAAGTCTTTATGCTTTTAATTTCAAATAAAAATTGTCTACGAAAGTGAGTCGCAGCGCTACCTATCTTAAGCCTCTACTTGTTGAAGCTAAAGCATAATATAACAGTTGGAATAATATAAATTAAGAAGTAAAAAAGGAATACTCATCTGTTTCAATAGTGGCGATCACGGAGAGGCTAAAATAAGACCGTCGTATTATTTAAAATAATAGTATTTATCATAAGGAACACATTAATACAAGATAATTACGTAGCTTACGGTAAGCTTACCTGATACTTTAATTATTTGCATCAATAATAGAAATGTGCTTATGAACCACCCGCTGTTCTAGCTTTGATGAGGAGTATACAAAACTATGTTAATTATTTTTTTCTAATCTGTAATCTCAGGTTAAACAGAAGAAAGATGATAGCCATAGATGTTGACTGGTAAAGTTGAAGAGGGATTTTTTTTATGCTGAGTTATTAGATCCAGAAAGCAAATATTTCGTAACTTGAAAAATGCTAATATAACAACGTAGGACAATATTCTGTCGGGTAGCATTAATATTTACACTACGAGATGATGGATCGGTTCCAGATTTTAATTTCACGCACTAATTCACATTTTACATCTGAGCGCACTAAGTGGTAGCTTTTAACTAACCCATTAAAAGAGGAGGAAAATTATAATCCTATCAAAGTTCATATGGTGCGTTTAATTTAATTTTATATGATGCAGGGTAACTGTCGGATTAGCTCATTTTTTGCATGTTAAATCCAAATTAAACAGTCATTAAAAACTGTTTCATTTTCTGGTTCACATACAAGTATCTAATTTGCGTGTCTCTTATAATTTATTTTTATATTTCGATCGTTTATACTTTAAGTTTAGTTTTATCTTCCTGAAATTTGTTGTAAATATCTAGAGGTAGAGCTTATTATTAAAGTTTAAGCTTGCCCTCCAGAGGCTCAGAGATAAGCTCGAGGTCTTTATAATGCTAAATTTCGGAGCTCGATACCTACGATGGGCACAGCACATATAGCCCATTGCGCAGAGGTGTACTTAACAAACAAGTTTTGTGTCCAACTTTCACGAGTTACGGAAAATTTTGAGGACTATCATACTGATTAACTTACAATGTATAAGGAAATATAATTTATTCATACGTTTGAAAGCTAAGTTTACAGCGATGTTATTTTACATAAAATATAAACATCCAAACTCTTGGAAGAGCTTTAATGGAATGGGGGAAATGGAAGATTTAATGAAATTAAGGGAATGGGAGAATGAGGTAAATTAGAGTATTTTAATGAAATGAGGAAAATGGAAGAACTTTAACGAAACGAAGGAAATGGGGAAACTTTACTGAAACGGAGGAAATGGGAGAAGTTTAATGAAACGGAGGAAATGAGAGAAGTTTAGTGAAACGAAGGAAAAGGGGAAACTTTACTGAAATGGAGGAAATGGGAGAAGTTTAATGAAACGGAGGAAATGGGAGAAGTTTAGTGAAACGAAGGAAAAGGGGAAACTTTAGTGAAATGGAAGAAATGGGAGAAGTTTAATGAAACGAAGGATAAGGGGAAACTTTACTGAAACGGAGGAAATGGGAGAAGTTTAGTGAAACGAAGGAAAAGGGGAAACTTTACTGAAATGGAGGAAATGGGAGAAGTTTAATGAAACGGATGATTTCTTTGTTTCTTTTAGAGAAAAATCAACTGGGTTGTCTGCTGTGTACATTGCAGGAAAGCGAACCCCGGATTTTAGCGTTGGAAGTCCACAAACTTATTGCTGTCCCACCAAGGGCCGAAATGAAGGAAATGGGAGAACTTTAATAAAGGCGTATGGACGTTATTAATATAAAATTTTGCATGTTAGCAATATAGTAACGTAAAGAAAGAATAGGCATTTGAAAATGTAAGTAGGCATTTAGAAAATAAAATAAATCAAGGATAAATAAACACTTATAGTTGTCTTTTCTATAACGACCAATTTAGCAAGTCCTACTTCTAGATCAAAGGTTTGTTTGTTTGTAATTAAGCGTAAAGCTACACAATGGGCTATCTGTGCTCTGCCCACCACGGGTATCGAAACCCGGATTCTAGCGTTGTAAATCCACAGACATGCTGCTGTGCCACTGTCGAAGGACATATATCAGCTTTGAAGCTAGAATTACGCTCACCATATCTCTCTTCAAACTCTCCCACTTCTCAGCGTCCATCGTTTTTAATACGCTTTGGTTTTCTTTAAACGTCATAACAGTGTGTTTCTTTAAAATCTTTTCCAATTTTTATCTATTTATCATTGTTATAATTTTATCCTGGGTACTCGTTGATTCTTACGTTTCATTATAATAAAGTATTTAAGTTTTTACTCTTTTT